AAGAGAGAGAGAGAGAGGATGAGTAGTAAAAACTTTCAAAAAAAAGGAGTTTGACCCCGGATTATAGAGAGAAAGGTCATTCTTTGAAGTTACTATTTAAGTGAAAAATAGTGATTGTTCACTATACTGTGACTATTGAAAACCCAACGGACACCATCACCAGTTACCAACCACTGAATCTACCTTTTCAACATCCATAAGCACCGAGCCAAGAGCCAACAGCTACCATGCACAAATGCCTCTTTGTACAATGATTCGTATTATAGCAATTGGATCTCGCATTCAACCATCTGATGCACTGTTTCAAGTCTAGGTCACATCTCAAAAAAATGAGGTCAACCACGAGCCTGTCCAGAGCCTGTGCATGGGCTATATAGAAAGTGTTCCATAAAGTGCCATTGTGTCCTAGCACCTGCACGATTTGCATGCTCTGCATACTCACTCCTTTATTCCATGGACATAGAGCATGAGTGATTTCATATAAATATCATTCAAACTCCGCTTTATTCTTCAATCATCATCATTATCATCTAAGCGTTATCTCAATTATTTTGGGGTCGGCTACATAAATCATATTCCTCCATTGTTCTCTATCAAGGATCACATCTTTAATGAGACTAGGCTTAGGATTCATGATAACATGTTGCAAGGTTTTATGCTGGCTGCCTACAACGCAACCCGCCTCCACTCTATTCTTTAATGTGGAACTAAAATCCACCACTTTTTCTATATATTAATTAATAACTTAGTAAAACCGCATTTAACACTATTATGTAATACTAACTAGTATTCTTTCAAAAATAAAAATACTAAACTATATTAACATTTCATCCACTGTTTCAAAATAATATGAAACAAGATAAGCAACTATAATATATTTGCATACCATGAAGTTACCTTTTGATTTGAATCTTCACTTAAAATATACATTGTAAAGTCCATTCGGTTCTATGGTAGTATATAACTTTGAACTAATTCCCTATCTAACAGACTAGTAGTATAACTCACAAATATTACACATCTCTAGTTTATTTAGCTGTTAGCGCATTTGGAGATTGTGCTTATATCATGATTTCATAAATCAGAGGCAAGTCTCATCACATAGGATGCAGCCTCACTTCCACAGTTATATACCTGTGTTGATCAAGAGTGTCCATGTACTTGAAACGCTCCGATTTATAAACATTCATAGACATCATTAAGAGCTTAGCTCGGCCTACTAACATATATGTCATTTGTAGACTTATCCACTGTATGGATTTCACTAGAATAGGTCCTCAAAAAAAATCAAACTATTCAACGTACAACTTGTTATTACCACATTGAACTTAGAATTTTGAGGTTATAAAAGACTAGGTTGGCTTCATACTACAAATTATTACTTTAGGAACTCTAGTGCCATTGTCCTTAGACATTTTTGCAAGGTTTTTTGTCAAAGGAATGGCCAATTTTCCCTTGACTTCGCATTTTTTGGATTAACACTCTATCTCATATTTATTTTTGTATGGAATTATGTCAGTACAAAATGTCTAGATTTACCATTTTATAAAGTATCATATGCTCTAGCAATAGTAGCATGATTATCGTAGTATATTGTGATTGTTTGTATCGAT